TAACATAATTCTCCCGTTTGCATTGTGATCTGTATTTTTACATATTTATTTTAATATTTTTTATATATCCCTCCATGGCATATTTAAGTCCCATTTGAAGGTCCTTCTGTGTCCCAAATTTATCAGAAACCCCTCGGAAGAAGACAACCCCGAGGGCTGTCCTCACTGCACGAAGTTCTGGGCTAAAACCCGAGAGTGGAGACTCTGCGTGGCAGTAGCTGGGAAGTCGGACCCATGCCTCTCTGCTCAATCCAGAGAGGAACCGATGGATTGTCCGCAGGCTGTCAGCTTGTGGGGAGAGATGATGGAGAGGGTATCACCCGTCCTTCCCCCGCTGTTCGAAGATCCGTTAGCGGGAGAGGAAGATGACGAGGACGAAATGTTGTCGGCCATCCTCGAGGACGAGGATGACGATGATGAAGATGCTATTCTTCCCCCAAATCAGTCGTGTCCGCCGAGGGCACAGGATGTGAGTTCACCCTCCCCTGTACAGACGGACAAGGACCTACTTGAGGTCTGTCGCAGGGCCGCGGCTAAACTGTCGATCGACTGGCCATCCCAACCGGCAGGTCAGGGGGCTGAAAGAGATTTGTATGATGGAAAAAGACTTCTGTCACGTCTCCCTCCAACGAGGCCGTTTATTCCAGCCGTCTCGGCTTGTGTGGCTGAAATTAAGAGGTTTTGGGACAAGCTTTTTTCCCACCGTGTGCCCGTCAAGGGCTTCTTGAGGCTGGGTGTTCAGGGAATAGAGGATTTGGGGATGGCGGATCCTCCCCCTGTCGAATCTTCTGTGGCTAATCATTTGCACCCAAGTCGCAGGGCAGCGCTCTCTGCAACCGGAGCCTCGCTGCCAGGGAAAACGGAGCACTTCGCTGCCTCTGTTTTTCAAAAGATCTATAAATCATCTGCACTGGCCGTTCGTGCTTTGAACACGATGTCCCTCCTTACTGCCTATCAAGCGGAGTTATTTGAGGAGATGGGGCGTCTGCTGGACTCCAGATCTCCCAACCCAGCGCTCTGGGAGGAGATATGCGTCATCGCAGATTTAAACCCGCGCACGTCCCGCGGAGCAGTTCAAAGCTGCGGTCGGAGTATGGGCTTAGCGGTCGTGGGAGAGAGATCGCTATGGCTGGGTTTGTCAGGCCTCTCTGACAAAGAAGGTGGAGTTTTTGGATGCCCCTATTGATCTAAAGGCCATGTTCGGCGCGACGGTAACAGCGATGCGTCAGCAATGTGACAAAAGGGGGAGAGGCATTCGAGGTCTGTCTCCCCAGAAAGCCGGCAGCTCGGCCTTATCACCCGAGCCGACCAAACTTCAGACCTTCAGGGAGAGGGGGACATTCTGACTATCAACCTTCCCATCCGGCTCCACCACAACAGCCGGGAAACACGGGCCCTCAGTCTAAGCCCGGTTTTGTGAAACCAAAGCAGCCGCAGCAGCGAAACACCGGTCGGCAACCCCTCAGGGAAACAAAAAGAAGCGGTCGACCTGAGACGTCAGCTTGGCATCAGGAAGGGTTTGGAGACAGCACTCAGGGTTTCTCTGTCCCATCCCTTCAGAACAATTCCATTATCCCTCCCATGGGGAAAAGGAGAAGGAATTTAGATGTGAAATGGGCTTGTGTGGTCAGTTCAAAGTCCAATGTGTACGGGGAAAGGGCCCATGTTCCTCTGGTGCCCCCCAAAGAATTGTCTCTCCCTCCACCTACGAGATTTGTTCTGAGGGAGGAAGGACAAAAGTTCATAAGCATCCCATCACAAATAAAGTTTTCTCTGACACATCCAGGCCAAGGGCTGAGGGCGCAGAGTGGGATAAAAATAAATAAATATCACAAAAAATTAAAACAATCACAAATAAAGGCGAATCTAACTCCTTCACTGGAGCGTTATACCCCTCCTTCGCCACTAGAGTGTGCTGCAACACCGCTAGTGAGCGAAGACGAGAAGGGCCCACTCGCAGCTCAGGCGGCGAACTGGCGAGCATGCGCAGTTCATCCCTGGGTTTTAACCACGATAGACAGGGCATACAGACTTCAATTCACTGTTAAATGGAGTGGTAATCTCAGTGGCCCAAGGGGAAGCAGCTCAGGTTTTAGAGGAAGAAATATCCTCTTTAATGAGAAAAGGAGTGATACGAGTGATTCCAACGAGAGAAAGCCACATAGGTTTTTACTCCCGGTATTTTGTGATTCCAAAAGAGGGGGAGGTCTCCGTCCCATCTTGGATTTACAGATCCTCAACAAACACCTCAGAAAATAAAAATTCAAAATGCTGTCACTCAGAATGTTGTGTCAGAGTATTCGTCAGGGAGATTGGTTCACCTCAGTGGACCTCCAGGATGCATATTTTCACATAGATATTTTTCCTGCTCACAGGAAATATCTGAGGTTCGCTTATCAGGGCACTGCATACGAGTATACGAAAATACACTTTGGCCTTGCTTTGGCTCCCAGGGTTTTCAGCAAATGTGTGGAAGCGGCTCTGACGCCGTTAAGGAATGGAGGGGTCAGAGTTTCATCATATCTGGACGACCTGCTCATCTGCGCGCCGTCCTCGCGGCAAGCAGAGAGCGATACGTACACACTAGTGATGCATCTGGAGAGATTAGGTTTCAAGATAAACCAGACGAAGAGTTGTCTAACTCCTGCACAGGAAATAGTCTACTTGGGTCTCAAGTTGAATTCAGTGATGTTTCGAGCCTCAGAAAATACAAATTCAAAATGCTTTCGCTCAGAACTTTGTGTCAAAGTATTCGTCAGGGAGATTGGTTCACCTCAGTGGACCTCCAGGACGCATATTTTCACATAGATATTTTTCCTGCTCACAGGAAATATCTGAGGTTCGCTTATCAGGGCACTGCATACGAGTATACGAAAATACACTTTGGCCTTGCTTTGGCTCCCAGGGTTTTCAGCAAATGTGTGGAAGCGGCTCTGACGCCGTTAAGGAATGGAGGGGTCAGAGTTTCATCATATCTGGACGACCTGCTCATCTGCGCGCCGTCCTCGCGGCAAGCAGAGAGCGATACGTACACACTAGTGACGCATCTGGAGAGATTAGGTTTCAAGATAAACCAGACGGAGAGTTGTCTAACTCCTGCACAGGAAATAGTCTACTTGGGTCTCAGGTTGAATTCAGTGATGTTTCGAGCTTTCCTATCAGAGGAACGCATCAAGACATTTCACAGCTGCCTCTCCCTTTTTCAACGAGGGAGATCAGTCTCTTTCAGAATGTGTCTTCGGCTACTGGGTCTGATGGCCTCGACAGTGTCAGTGGTTCCCCTGGGACTGCTGCAAGTGAGGGATTTTCAGATCTGGACAGCGTCACAGTGCATTCACCCCGAGAGCCGTCTCAGCCGTAGAGTGCGCATCTCACCAGAATGCATGAGCGCTCTTCTTCATTGGAGAGCCCCATCTTTTCTCAGGACAGGATGCCCTCTGGGTCCTGTTATGTTAAGGAAAGTGGTGGCGACAGATGCATCGTTCGGCCGGGCTGCCGTAGATCTCTTTGCATCGCGCGAAGACGTGCAATGTCCCCTGTTCTTCTCTCTGGCTGGCGACGATGCACCGTTGGGTGTGGATGCTCTAGCCCACGAGTGGTTGGGTTACCTCCGAAAGTTATAGAGACAATTCAGAACACGAGGGCTGCCTCGGCATGTTCTTTATATAATCTCAAATGGAGGGTGTTTGAGGGATGGTGTACAGATAGAAACATTGTTCCTTTCTTGTGTTCAGTTTCGGATGTGCTGTGCTTCCTACAGGACCTTCTGGATAAGGGCAGAGCCTTCTCTACAGTTAAGGTTTATCTGTCCGCTATCTCGGCATGTCATGTTGGTCTTAACACGGGTACGATTGGCCAACACCCTCTCGTCTGTCGATTTATGAGAGCATGTAGGCTACACCCAGAATCGAAGCCGCTGGTCCCGCCTTGGGAGTTGTCCATAGTTCTGAACGTGCTCTCAAAAGCCCCTTTCGAACCCATTGATAACATTGCTTTGAAGCTGCTCACTTTAAGATGGCTCTGTTACTTGCACTCACTACAGCAAAAAGGGTGAGTGAGCTACATGCTTTATCAGTTCACTTCTCATGTATGATGTTCGCTCCGGGGGGTCGAAAAGTAATTTTTAGACCTAACCCGGCGTTTGTGCCTAAGGTGTTTGATCACGCTGGTGCAGTTCAATCAGTGGACCTGCTAGCTTTTCATCCACCACCTTTTTCATCCCCAGAGGAGGAGAGGTTACACAGTTTATGTCCGGTTTGTGCTCTGTATATGTATGTTCAGAGAACCCGCACGCTTCGTAAGAGCAATCAGCTATTTGTCTCGTGGGCTGACTCTTAAAAATGGAAAACCCATCTCCCGTCAACGCCTTTCCCAATGGGTGGTGGAGGCTATCGTGTTATGTTACAACAATGCGAATATAGAGCCCCCAATAGGATTACGAGCACACTCTACTACAGCTATGGCTACATCCTGGGCTCTGTTAAGAGGCATTTCTATTAAAAAAATTTGCGCGGCAGCCAGCTGGTCTTCTCCGCACACATTTGCTCGTTTCTATAGACCGGATGTGACAGAATCCTCTCTGGCCCACTCAGTCCTAGGAGTGAGTAGTCAGGGTGAATAATGCAGGTTATTAAGGGGCGAATTCCTCATATTATTCTGTTTTCACCTCCATCGGGAGTTATGACTCAGATAATAACCTACTCTTTCTTTAGTCTACTTCGTCAGCATATCGGCAATACGGGAGTTGTCTATATCCCATAGTGAGATACCGAACAAATGTTAGAAAGAGAACAGAGAACCGGGGTTACGTCAGTAACCTAACGGTTTAATGTGACGTCACACAGTGGTGCGGTGCTCTGAGCTGTGATAACAGCAAATCACGGATTATTTACCAAGAGATGTGGACGTATGGGATTCTTTTGATTAATAGATGTTTTTTAACTTTGATCTAAGTACAGTTATGTGAGTCTAGAATGTTTATGCTGCACTAAACTTTGACAAACAACACTCTGATCCGCAAACAAACAGATGAAGAAGAGGAGGATGATGACGGTCCAGCGCATACAAGGAGAAAGGTTTGTAGTTTTAATTTCCACATTCTTATTTTTATGAATATAACTGGATGTAATTACTTCAAGGATGTTAATGTGAAGAGGATTTGTTTGTACTATTAGTATTATAATTCTATAAAAGATCGTTCTTTTCAAATAATCTCAGTTAACTAAATATATAAGCTGCAGTGATGATTATGATGACAATGTACTGCAGTCAAATTTATATGCATCAATATGTCTGAGATCATTTGCAGTAACGTTAGCTGTGTCCTGCTTTTACAGTTGCTATGTAAGCAGACTTTTATGTACAGGTGCTCACCACTACCAAAACACATGCAACTGACTACAACAAAACACAGAAATCACAGTTTTGTTGCTACTTTAGTTGCTTCTTCACTTAGCATGTAGAGACATATGGAATAACTGAATATTTCTCTTAAATGTGCCACAAATGTCTTTTAACCTGTTTTCCAGTAACCAAGAGAAGTGTCATCGCAGAAGAAATGGCAGAAGTTCGTCAGACACCTGTGAACACCGAGCAGTGCTTGGAGTCAGACAGTGGACATCATCTTTATTATACTTCTCTGACTGTACTAGCAAGGAGCAGTTAGAGTCGATGAGAAAGTAAGTTCAAGTACATGTCTGCTCTGACCATGATTATACTATGTAATATAATGTTTTCTGCAACAATTGGGGGGAATCTTAACTGAGGAGACAAACTGACCAACAGGAAGCTATGGATCTATTGAATGTGTATTTTTCAAGCATTTTATTGTGGCATTCACTGTTATTTTTCTGCACAGTGATGACTAGTGAAAAGTGTTTCTACTAATTAAAAGTAGAAAAAGTATAGTTAACCCAGAATTCTGTCATCATTTACATTATTACATCAATTCCCCCACTTTTTTCAAACCCCTGACTTTTGTTTTTCTTCAGAACTCAAAAGAAGATACTTTGAAGAATGCTGGTAATCAAAACCAGCAGGCTTGTCACATGTAGACGACATAAAGGAAGTAAATGATTTAAAAAAAAAAATTCACTTTAAATTTCAATCATACTGGACACAGCCACTCAATGTGCTAGAATTAAATGGGTAAATAATAAGTAAATAGTCCATCAACGAATACTTCAGAATGACCATGGCACTCTTGTGAATTAAAAAGCCTTTATTATCAAATGGCTACATCCAAGAAATCTAAAAACTCTGGACTTTGTTTGAATGAGTAAATAGTCTTTCAAACAGCATGTGCTTTAATACAATATATATATATATATATATATATATATATGTGTGTGTGTGTGTGTGTGTATTTAATTTCATTCAGTTTGGTGCATTTAGTTCGACCTTTAGTAATAGATACTTGTGCATCATTTGCTCTTTACAGGTGCAGAAATGAAAGCTCCCAAGCAAAGAACTCACTAGACTAAGATGTGGAAAGACATGCTGCAAAATGACCCACAATGAGCAACAACCAAGAACAGTATTCACTGATTACCTTTAAAAATGATTCATAGTAACAGTTTGGTAACAGTTATTTAAATTATTTTACCAAGTACAAAAGGTTTAATTAGAAAACTTTGCCATTCACCAATGTGTTTTTCAAAACACCTTTTAAATTTTTTATGTTTTAACCTTTATTTATTAAATGTTACAGTGTACATATAAAAGCCTCATTCATTCAAGTAAATGCATGGGTAACTTTGCAAAATGTAAAATATTTTATCTACACTTATTGTATAACTGCTGTTTTTTGCTGTAATTGCATGGTTTTGTAAATAAATTGTTTTGTAAATAAATTTTCCTCATGCCAGCTTGTTCAAGCTAGTTATTTTAGTTATTTTATGGACTTTCATAATAATGAGATGTTTATAGATTTGTAAAGTCATGACTCTTGTTATTTATGTACTAAGGCCCTTTCACACGGAACGCGGCAGTCGCGAGTGTCTAGTTCCCTTTCGTGGAACTTCGAACTGCGTCCTCTAGGGGTCGCTATGGGGGAACGCCTCGTCGTGACCCGTGTCTGAAGCCTACATTGAAAAAACACCAACTTGTTTGGCCGGCGACAGCCATGACGTCACTACCGTCGCGACTAGTACAAAATAGGCGCCGGTAGCACATCATTCACCTTCTTCGTCTTCACTGACCGTGCTGTTTGAAGCGTGCATTCCAAAAGCAAAGTAAGAGCTTTTTCTTTCCTACCATGGCGAGCACTAGCGAAGCGTTTAGAAAGTGTGTACATCCGTGTCAGCGGTTCCTGACACCCGATGATTCACACGATCTATGCGTTGTTTGTTTGGGCGAGGAGCACGCACGCGATGTCCTCGAGGGGGCAATCTGCGTGCACTGTGAGAGCTTTTCGCTGAAAAAGCTCCGTTCTCGTTTGTCTCTCTTCTCGAGTGGAGAGGGACAACCATCTGTTTCCCGCGGTTCAGGACCCGCCGCTGCTGAGGCACGGAGGAGAATGAGCTCGTGGGGATCTCAGGTGGACCTAGCCGATGAGGCTGAAGGGGGCGAGAGACAGCCGCTGGACGATGATATCCTCTCTCTAATATCATCTGATCCAGGGGCCAGTGCTCAGTTGGGCCCAGCCCAACAAGAGCAGGAAATGGATGTGGAGAGTGAAGAAGCTGAGGCTGAGCTTTCCCAATCCACCTGCCCTGCGTATGATGAGCTGTTAGAGGTAATGGATCGAGCCACGGCAAGGCTCGAATTACCGTGGAAACGAGCCAAGGAGGTGACGTCGCGAGGTCGCCTCGACAAACGTTATCTCTCTGGCCATACACCTCCAGCTCAAGTGAGCCTTCCTTTCCTTCCTGATCTCCACACTGAGATCGAGAAGGAATGGGAGAGGCCGTTTTCCTCACGCGTATACCGGTTTCAGCATATTCACACGGTACGCGGCAGTCGCGAGTGTCTAGTTCATTCTCAATGGGAGACATGCGGAAATCGGCAAAACGCGGGCGGTTTCGCTGGCGGCGCGGAGGCGGAGCGCAAGCGGTGTTCGTGCACCCACAATCCTGCCGCTTCCACGGGCACGGCGCTTCGCGGCAGGCGCCGCCCAAGATAAAAATATTTTATCTTTTTGTGAGCAGCAGCGGCAGCCGCGTCGGTTTCAACCAATCAGTGAACAGATTACTAACAACCATTACCACATCAATACGATTTTTTTTTTTTGCATTTCTAGCAAAGCCCTGGGCCTGGGATGCATTGTTTAGGCTCAATTAATCTCCTCAATTTTCCTTTAAAATTATATTTCATTCAAATTTTTACTTCAATCATGACCTCACAGGTAATAATGCTCTTTAGGCAAATCAACTTCGATCACTTGTGGCAAACGAAAAAAAAAGGTAAATAATGCCAACAATTAATGACAGAATGACACAAACACAAATTTCCATTATGTTTTATTTGGTTTTTAGTAAATGCAAAGGTGATGTTGACAATTGTCGATTCCACCGCTTGCCGCGTACGGTGTGAAAGGGCCTTTATATAATTAAAATGAAAGTAAACGTTTTGTCTTGGTAACATTATCAAATTTAAATGAAATATTACTGAACAGTACAGTAGATATAGAAATGAATCTGGGCTAAGTCTGGTGTGCTGCGCAACGGGCCGAGTCCGGCTTGGATGCGGCAGTGTCGGCAAGTTACGGCATCGCATCTGGTCCGGTTGATTCGGCCAAGAATCTGAAAGTGAGTACACAGGCATCCAGGCCGGGTGCGGCAGATGGATCCGGGCCTATGGACAAGTCTCTAGCAGGTAAAAATGTAACTGAAAATGGCCCGAGTGTGAGAGGGATTGTGTATGAGGTAGATGTAAATGGCTTATCAGCAAACGTCAAATTGGTAAGTTTTCACTAGACATTAGTGGAGTCAGCAGTTCGCTTGACAGTAAATAAGGATCTAATCCTAAAGTTTTTTTTTTTTTTTTAAATACCATTGTTCCCTTTCGATACTTCACTCGTACTGCGTCTGCTTAAGATGCATATGGGAAAAAAGCCTTTTTTCTCCTGAACTGAAGCCATTTTCATTCACGCAGTGAAACTGCACGGCCATTGGTTCGTGCAGAGCTTAAAAAACGAACCAATGGCTCGACAGCGGAGCCCGCTCACTCGTCTAAGCCTTGTAGGACCACTTCAGCTCTCGCTGGATGCGTCTACACCTCAGCTGGACAGGTGGCTTCGGCGCTTCATTCTATGGCGGTCCTCCAGGTCTTCCAGGCCAAAATCCTCGCATCCTCCGAGTCTGGCCTGGACCCCGCTACCCTCAGGGATCTGAGGAGTGCGACTGACCTGGTTCTACGCGCCACCAAGACCACCGCCCTGGCGATTGGGAGATCGATGGCCAGCCTTGTGGTGCTCGAGCGCCATTTATGGTTGACGCTGACGGAGATGAAGGACTTGGATAAAATCCCCTTCCTCGACGCTCCTGTCTCCCCCAAAGGTCTTTTCGGCCCGGCAATCGAAGGATTCGCTAAACGCTTCACGGAGGCACAGAAATCGTCCCAGGCTATGCAACATTTCCTGCCTAAGCGCTCCAGCTCCGCTGCTGCCTCAGCTCACCCAAAATCTGCGCCGACTCAGCAGCCTGCGAAACCAGCACCTGCCGCCCCCGCTGTTCAGCCCACTAAAGCGCAGCAGACGCGGGGACGCTCTCACTCGGCCAGACGCTTACCTCTTCCT